GGAAAAAAAAACCCTATAAATTATTTTAAATAAAACATTGCGTGGGCTATTTTCTTACATTCACTACAATAATTGGACTACAAATACTTTTTTATTATTAGAAATTTAAGAAGGAAATATGCTACATAAAAAAATTCTCATCCTAATTTTTTTGAAGAGTAATTCTGAGAGTCTATATAAAAATATACGTTTACTCATTTTTATGTTGTATCAAGACTTCAAAGATAATTGTTTCCCAAACTTGGAACTTAAATTAACTTTCATGTGTGTCATTTTGGGGCAAAACTTTATTCAGTGCATATGAAATGCCACTAGAAAATTGTTTTCCCTTTTAAGTATGTATATTTATGTACATTAGTATACAAAATGTATAATTAGAACTTTTGCCAAATCTTACTTTTCCTTGGGAATTTGCTTAGTGGTTGTCAATCAAGTAAAAATAGTTGACTTTTGAGCCTGCATTGTTGTCCTTGTGAGGAAATTTTTACTAAGCCTTTATTGTAGGGTAGAGCGGCCAAAGCAGCCTTGTCAGGCCTTCACATGACATCATTCTTCCTCCCTAAATCCAATATCAATAAAAGCAGAAAGTTTAAACTGTATATGGAAACAATGTAAGAAGCAAGTGCTCTTGGCTGTTGTTGAATCTTTGCGTTATCTCTTCAAATCTCATAAATCTCAAGATATCTGATCTGTTAGTTCAGTCTGTATTTCCTGAGCATATCAGTGTGATGTTTAGAGAAAAGTGGACATATTTCCCGTAACTACACTTAATTATATACACTACTGAAATAAAGAAGAAAGGCAGTTGCCCCTTTTAAAAATTTTTGTTGATTGTCTAACAATAATCCACTCTAGATTGAAATGATTTGAAACATTCCTTAGAATGGTGAATATCTAGTATTTTGGGTCTTAAGGCAAATCTGTGAAGTATGTAGCATGGCTAGCCTTATTTTTGTCATACACAATTTATACCCTGAGTCAGGGTGTTTTCTCATTCACATTTTTTATGTGTCTCAAAACATATATTGAGGACCTACTTTCTGTCAGGCACTCTGACCGCGAGAGTTTAAAGATGAGCAACACATGCTTCCTGTGATCAGTATTTTCAAAATTAGATTGAGCAATCAGACTGTTGAAAACAGGGTGTGAAATCTTGTGTGCTAGTCTATTACTGACAGAAGCACAGGCAGGACGGGAAGCAGATGTGACACCAGATTAGTTGGGAAGAGGGGGTTTCTGGAAGGGCTTTCTATACGTAATGCCTGAGGAGGCTCTATCAACTTGTTTATTAAAGTACACCATCAAGTAGTAGCCAGCTCTCAGATACGTTAGCATTAATTCACGTAAATGTATTCCTTTTTGTGAGGGTATTTAGTTTGCAAGCATTTTCTCCTGAGTGGACTGAAAGGCTTTGCATTTGGCGAAAACAGTGGCTCTTTGTGTGATCGTTTCTGACAGCCTGTGGTGGACCTCTTCCCTGCAAAACATATTGTGACTGGGTGTATAAACTCATACGTATTTTTTGCGTATAGCTTTTAGGAAATCACAAACTTGAAGCCTCCTTAAAGCTGGTCGCTGGATCCCAGCTTCAAAACGGAAAAGCTAAAGATCATTGGGGAATCTTGAAAGGGTGGAAGAAATATCACTTAAAGTTATAGTGTAGGGAATCACGATTTTGGCTTGTTCATTCTTGCCATACATTCTGTAAAATGTGTTTACCTACTACAATAAAAGCTATTTGTCTTTCTTGGTCTTCGATTTAAAAAAAAAATTGTAGTACAATGAATGCAAATAGCCTTCAGAAGAAAAACAATACCTGTGGTTTTCCATGTAGTTTAAAAATTGTTCTTCTTGACATTTTATTTTGGCCTGTTGGTTAGCTCCAACCCCATTTTTGACCATAGGAATCCAAGCAGAATTCCAAACAGATAGTAAATATTCTAATTGCACTTGAGCATTTCCTTAATATTATCATCTATAACCACTTTCCTGTATTGCTTTCAGTTCTGATATCCCCAACCTCAAATCACTGCATTAAATGGGGCTAATGAGTAATAATTCATACTTTTTAAAACTATTTCTAATTTTTGTGTTTTTTTTGGGGATGCAAAACAAATAGAAAATACCATAAAGAAAAAAAAAAACTCCAAAGTGGATTTGAGAATTACAAATATCTTGGATCCTAAATAATAAATATGTGTCAGATTATAATGCAGATTCTAAATCCATGTAATATAGAGTGTTGTGGTCCAGCTTGCTATACCAATGCATAAGTAAAGTATTTCAGCTTGCAGAAATAGGACACTTATAGTGAAGTGAAAGATGAATGAAGGAAACCCTCAAATGTGTGCAATATGAAGAAAGAAATTGTGCATTTTAAACTGTCTGATAAGTTGTAATTTTAAGATGGCTATTTTTTCTTTTTTTTTTTCTGTTGATAGCATAAAAATTTAAAGATATACATGACCTGCAGTATATCAAGTCTGCACACAAATGAATTGACTTTGTCATTCATTATGGCTTGTTCTCAAAGAAATATTGAGTTTTCTCCTGAAGCAATTCATGGTGTGTTGAGAACTGACACAACTATTCTGAAGCTTTTAGTTCAGAAAAGATAACAGTAAATAGTAAGAAAAATGGGTGTGTGTATTTCAGAACAGTTTGTCTCCTTTTAAGAATCATCTGGCCTTGTGCCTTTTCTTCTCCCCATAAGTAATGTTTTTGCTTCTGTGAAGTGTTATATCCTTGGACTGCTGTTCTGTTTTTGATATAATCCATCCATCAAAACATGAATCTTATTGCATGTGAAAAGTCGTTACGAGAAAATAAAAATCTAAAACACATTTGGGTTTTATTTTACTCATACTACTTTTATTATATAAATGGAGTATGGACAAACTGCATTTTGTTTGGTTGAGTGCCTCAGCTTTCAAGTTAACCAGCTGGTTCAGAGAGGAGCAAAAATTTATTCTTGCAAAAAAAAATAATGCTAATAAAGATGATGACAATGTCAATTATTTGCAGTAATGGCAGTTTGTTAAAAATGTGGAATGTGAGGCCTCTCTCCAGACCGACTATATCAGAGCCTGCATTTTAACCTGATCTGCTGTGATCCCTATTCGAGTTCATGTTAGAGTAACACTGTTTCCCTGTCTCTAGTTGCCCCCAGCACTAAGAAAGGAAGAGCCAGCCTCAGAGTCACTGCCAGTCAATGCCCTCAACTGTTTGCATAGTAAACACACGATGGAAGATTTAAATAACTCACAAACTTGAATTTACCTTAAAGTGTAAAATCTTGGGGAAAAGAAGTGCAAAATGTATTTTTATGAAAACCAACAAGCCTTTTATATAAAGTGCAAATTTTTTTTACTAAGGCAGGCCATCTATTTCTTGAGATGTCTGTCTTTAGGGGTAGTGGAGCATCAGCGGTGTCTGCTAGAGGTGTATGAAGCTGATTAGAATCTGGCTTCAATTTCAGGCATCAAGACCAGCCTCTTACCCAGTGCTGTAAACTGTTCTACAGACCTTTCATTACTTTGTCTCTAGGACAGTAAAAAATAGTAAGCATCTCTCTGGTTCTACAGACTGCCATTCCATTGACAGTAGGGCGGAAAAGAGGAGTTGATGAGAGAATTCTAATTTTAATGAATATTTTTCCGTATGGTGAACTGATAACCTACCTTGAACTAATTTCTATCTCTTTCCTTTCTAGATTTACACATAAATATAACCTTCTTATCTCATGTCATTTTGTATGAGGGAACTAAACAGGGTAAATAATTTTACATAATAAACTTTTGACCAAAACCTAAAGTATAGCTTTCAGGATTGAAATCTAAATTTCATAAATTAATTTTATTAACTACTTTTAAGCTAAAATTCCTAAATATTAAGGTTTAAATCTACTAAAAGACAGTGATTTGAAAAGCATGGATTTCATCATTTCCTAAAATTTCAATGAATTTTCCTCTTCTCTTGGTTTTGCAAAAGAAAAATTTGAAGAAAAATTTGAAAAAGAAAATTTGTAAACCTGTATCATGAAACAGCTATACCAGAATCCCCAAAGCATTTGTCAGTGTTTTACCATCTCATGATTAATTTATTCTCTCTCTTAAATTTGCTGTGTTTCCTAAAGTTACTGTATTTTGATATTCGGCAGCACTAAGAGATTGATTAGTCTAGTTTTGGACTCAAATAAAAAGGAAGGAAATTTTTTTGTTATGTTAATATATATTTCTGATGTTAAAAGAAAATTCACATACTGGTTTTAAAGAAATTATCTCATTTCTTCCCACAATGGTTTATAGAGCTTTGTTTTATTAGGTAGCATAAAAGACTGGATGTAAAAGAGTCAGAGGGTTTTCAGGATTTGGGGCAATGATTTTGAAGCTCCTGAAAATATGGACAGTGTTTTATTTATCATTAAAGATCAAAGGTGTAGCACCTGGTCATTGACTAAATAAATGTTGACTTAAATATTATTTTTGGTATTATTTATACATTTTACAGAAACTCAGAGGCAATGCCATCTTTAGAGAAAGTGTATAAAAATGTGATGAGTAAGTTGCTAGAACAGTACAATATTTAGCTGCTACTATGTCTCCTTCTACCTGGCAGTGAAGACCTGCTGCTGGTCACAGGCATCCACTGTAAATTCAAGCACACACTTAGCAGATTTTCATTTACTTGCAAAATAGCCATGATTGCTAAATTCACTTTCTCTAGATTCCCCCATAAATCAGTGACCATTTCATTCAAAGAAATGACTTACCCCCTCCCGTCAAACATCGAAGTAAGAAAATGTAGGTCATACCCTTTTACAAGTGGTTCATATTATAGTATAACAGGTCCAATATTATATTCAGTTATAATTACTTTCTGTAATATCTGCCTATATGGACTGCATTTCCATATTTTTAGCAATATTTTTCTAATTAGCTTTGTTTGCCTTGACTTTGCTCTTTAATATTTTACATTTTAATTGAACTTTTCTTTTTTAGCTGTGTTTTGGGGTGATATTGCCTTAGATGATGAAGACTTAAGTATCTTTCAAATTGATAGGACAATTGACCTTACACAGAACCCCTTTGGACTTGGACATACCACAGGTATGGTTGATTATTTGATTGAATTTGTGTTCATTTTGGAGAAAAGATACTCTTGAAATGCTCTAAGTATTCTTTAGGTCACTTTTAATGTCCTGCTGATCAACTTTAATTGCCTAAACATTAATGAGCCTATTTGGAAATTTAGATTTTGTTCATAGTTTTTAATTCTATTAATTAATTTCTTTGACAAACATTTTGTTTGGTACCAAGGTACCAAGTACTTAAACCAGGTACCAAGCCTGGTTTAAGTGTTTTGCAGATAGTAACTCTTTGAATGTGCATAATAATCCCATGAGGAGTAGCTACTAATATGACTTACAAGTGAGGAGATCAAATTAATTGTATTTCTTATTTTCTTATTTCAAACTGTGTAGTCTTTCCATAAGTATTTACTTAGTTTGTATATTTTCAGTTTGTTTTTAGAATATGTGTGAAATAACCACTTATTTTATCAATTTCCTTTTTTTCTATGTTAATGAACTACCTACACAGAATTTTTTGTAATTTCAATTTCTATACAAATTTTTAAAAATTGCTAAATTTTCAAAGGTATTATTGCCTTTAGTGGTCTTGAAACATTGTTTTTTGAAAATTCTATAATTACTCTTATCCTTATAATTACCTTAATATTAACTAAGACATTTCTTTTTTCTCATAATTAATCTTCTTCTAAATCTATTTATATGTGCTTCAGGCCTATCTAATTATGTAATAATTATTACATAATTGTGATTTCAAACATATAAATGCCATTCTTTCTTATAGCTACTTAGGAATGAATACACTTAAATATTACCTCATCTTTCTAAAATGTTCAATGAAAAAATTTCAAAAATTTTTCTCAAGTAGCACAGCAAAAATGTGACCATGTAATGAAAACAATCAGGCACGTTATTAGTCAGTGAACAAGCACTCTAACTTACTTGCCTTATAAGGACTTAATTGATCTTTTGCTCTAGAAGGCTTATATGGTAATGGTTTTTGTGATTGTTTTGGGGTTTTATTAGCTTTACTCTAGGTAGATAAGTTTTGGTATTAATTTCAAAGGGGAAAAAAGATATTGGAAAGAAATAGATCAAGGTGCAAGCACAGTTTGTTGTCTTTATGGATTTCTAGCCCTTTCATTGTCTTCGCCCAAAGAGACTCATGAATCATACTCTCATGGTGTGAATGTATCTGTACTTGTTCAGATATCATTAGCGGTTATATTGGTTGTTTGCTCAGTGATGCCTTCTTGTTATTTGTCTATTGAAAATTCAAAAAAAAGGGAAAATAGGAGATAAAATTGGGAGAGCATTCTATTCAAGGCCTGGAATGAGAATCACAGGACTTGGTTTTTCCTCAGATGCTCTGGTTTCTGACTTATGAGAGGAAATCTGCCTTTTCTTTTTTTTTTCCAGTTGGTAAAACTGCAAAAGGATATATTTCCTCATCCTGACCTCCTTTTCTACCTTTTGAGCTCTAAATTCTTTACATCTATTTTTATAAATTTTGCCAATTACATAGCATAACAGAATGTATTTTGCTGCTGAACATCCTTTTGGATTGTTGTGATGTTTTTGTAATTATGTGTTACTGGTTTTTATAAATTATTAAAACTCATTTTCAAATTATATTTGAATATATTCTAAAATATGATATGCTTTTAAAAATATTTCAAAATTGATCACAGCTTTGGAGCAAGACTTGTACTATATATTTGCTCTTCTAATGTTTTTATTTCCATTTGCTGATTTGGCTTCTGAAAATATTCTGTTTACATTGGAGAAATAGCTGGAATGCAATCAACAGGGCATAACAACTTGCTGTCATCCTATATAACACGATGTGATGTCAAAGTCACAGTGAAGAAAAATGTTCCAAATTATCGATAGATGACTCAGTTGCCATGATGTCCAAATAAAGTCACTTAGATTGCTCTGTGGATCACCCCACCCACTTGTTTTTAGTTACCAAAATTGTGTTTGTAGAATGTTTACACTTTTCTAAGATTTATGGATATTCATGACTCTAACGTTCTTAGACCACATAAAAAAAAAGATGTCCAAAGAGAAATCAATGTAGCCTGTTGGTATGGTTTATTTAGAAGAACTTTAAAATGCAATGAGTTTAGCTTAACTATTTTCTTTTATTCTTAAGGTGGATTTGGAGACCATGGTATGTCAAAGAAACGAGGGGCCCTCTACCAGCTTATAGACAGGATAAGAAGAATTGGCTCTGGTATATCAATGTTTAAAGTTGCAGACACTTGACTTAATGTACAGTAAATATTATACTAATAGCAGTTCAGTTTGCCATTAATATGTGAAGTATGTAAAGGGTATATGCTGAGAAAGTCCTTTATTCATTTTTGTTAGCTGATGTTCAATGTCAGTTTTTTAGAACTTATTTTGGGACAATTGAAATGTTTCTTTAACTTATTTTCAGCTTCTCCTTAGTATAAAATGCATTAGTATAAAATGCATTATTGTTGATATTTATTTCTGGTGCAGTGTGTATCACACTAAGGTGTTTTTATCAAGCATGGAACTACATCAGTTTTAATCAAATCAAAAATGTCATGACTGTTTTGAAATAAAACCCACTTAAAGTAAATTGACAAACTGATTTGTTAGATTAAAAAATTAATTGAAAATGTTTTGACCCTTCCAGAAATATACATAGAAAAACAGCTTTCTGGTTTCATAATTAGTTAATACTTATAGTATTGAATTTGTTAAACACTATTTATAGATTATGGAGTTTTTAAAAAAGTTTTCTGTTCAAAGTGTGTCCTAACATTTTTTAAATTGATGAATTATTAATTAAATAATTGACAGTACTCACTTTCAAGGAATAATTTTCCCAAGCAAAGATGCCTTGCCTCAGGGTATTAAAAGATAAACCTGTTAGGGACATGGGAATGGGGGCATGCATTCAATGTTTGTTGTTTCTGAAGTATATTCCAGGAGTGGGATATTTGGATCAACAGTTATAGATGAATAAAAATGAATAATAAAACATGAGAGACTATGGACTCTGAGAAACAAACTGAGAGTTCTAGAGGGGAGGGGGCTGGGGGGATGGGTTAGTCTGGTGATGGGTATTAGAGAGGGCACGTATTGAATGGAGCCCCGGGTGTTATATGCAAACAATGAATCATGGAACACTACATCAAAAACTAATGATGTAATGTATGGTGATTAACATAACATAATAAAATAAAAAAAAAAAGAATGAACAATAATGCAAATTTAGGAAAAACAAAAAACAGTAATAAAAATATTTTGAAAGGCCACCAAGAAAATTAATGACTACAGACATGAAAGCTGCTCTAGGAATAGGCTGCATTTTATGTTGGCCTGTTCACGTTGTGTATTGATCTCTAAATCGTGCTAAATCACCTGGATATGAATCCAGAGGAAATGTGAATGGAGATATACCAGCATCCCAGGAGGCTGAGACCATATCTGACTTAACATTATTTCATTTATCCTCTCTGTAATTTTCATAATTTTAGGATGTACTATGGAATATCTTGCTTTAAAAGAATGAAGGATTTAGCAAGAGTTAAGAAGAGTTTTGAATATCTTGTGACTTTTTAAACAATGTCTATTTATCATCTGCTGATGAATTGGCAGAGATCTAGTAAATTAAAACACATAAAACAATTTTTTTGTGGCCTGCCAGACTGTCTGACATCTATCCACTGTAGGCTGTATGGGAAGTCATTAAAATTTGCTCATTAAGAAATGGTATTTTGACATCAAGTACTTAAATATTTTAATACTTTTTCAGGTATGTAATATAAATGACATTTTTCTTTAATGCATTTTGACTTCAGGCATATTTACACAAATATGTAAATAAGACATTTTAACTTGAGTCTTTTAAGAGGAAATGATTCCCTGACCAAGGACTTCTGTTTCACAGAGTGTTTTAAATGTCACTGCAGGCCTGGAGCAAAACAGCACAGTTAAAGGAAAAGTACCTCTAAAATTCTCAGGGCAAAATGAGAAAAATCGAGTTCCCAGAGCTGCTACATCAAGAACCGAAAGAATATGGCCTGGAGGTGTTATTCCTTATGTTATAGGAGGCAACTTCACTGGTAAGATATTCCCAGAGTGTTTATTTTTATAAAGAAATATTATATAGATTAAGTGTGTATTTTTCCAGGGTATTAATATATAGAATATAGTATTAAATCAAACATGAGAAATATTTTACTTACCTTGGTTGTTGGTTTAGAATGTCTTTGAAATTGAAAAATATCTTTAGTCTTGAGCTCTAAGAGACTAAAGTACTGTTCTGGTTTTTAAACTGAGTTTCAAATGTGCCCATCAATCCAGGAAGCTGATTTCTCTTCAACTGACAGGAAGAACATATGTCCCGTTGATAGAGCCTTGTACACACACACATATTTGTAGAGATAGTGAACTTGAACCTTCTGATTATAAGGTGAGTGACCATTCTTAAGAGTGATCACTTGTGGTGCTCTAGGCTAGTATTTGTTGGTTGACGAGAGTGATGTCATCCGAACTGCCTAGTCAGACTCAGGATGGAGGAGCCAGCATGTAGCACTGCTCCCTAAGGCAGACACTTGGTTTTATTAACATCCTGCCATTTTTCTAGGCAGTCAGCGAGCCATGTTCAAGCAGGCCATGAGGCACTGGGAAAAGCACACATGTGTGACTTTTATTGAAAGAAGTGATGAAGAGAGTTACATTGTATTCACGTATAGACCTTGTGGGTAAGTAGAACCAGGGAATGACTTAAGTAAGTGTAGAAGAGGAAAAAGAAAATCCAGAGGTAGGATTCATTTCTTAATATTTGCTTAGCATTTTGCCCATGAGAAAGTGTGAATTTTACATAAGAAAATATATTTTGAATAAATATAGTCTTTGATCATAGACCTTTGTACATCTACCTCAAGTGTATTTCGCCACCACGTCAACTACTTCTCCTCGTGTTGCAACTATAATAATGGTATCGCCACCGTCAATAATATCGTCTGGTGATTCTCTTGAGCTCCCTCTAAAATCTATGCAGTAAGATTCCATTGATATTCACTGTATCTTTTGATTTCTACCTCCATCCCATGTCATTGCCTCAATCCATTCATGTCTTTGTCATGTCACACCTGACCTATTCCAAATGCTTGACTGTCTTCCCTCATCAATTTACTACCACTAGAATTATCTTTAAAGAATACCGGTCAGAGCAAGACACCACCCTTTTTTGTTGATTCTTCAGTGCTTCCTCGTAGAGTGCTGCTTTCTAGATTGGCTTCTTACGGGATGATAACAAATATTCTCCAAAACAACTGTTCTGGAGCACTGGGTGTTATACGCAAACAATGAATCATGGAACACTACATCAGAAACTAATGATGTAATTGTATGGTGATTAACATAACACAATAATAAAAAAATGTAAAAAACAAACAACAACAACAAAAAAACAAAACAACTGTTCCGTAAGTTGTGAAATGCTGTGTTAAATTTCAGTAGATATTTCTGCAGCAATGTGCTAATGAACATTATGAATATTCAACCCATCAAAGAGAATGTAGAATACAGTGTTTTCTAAACTTACTTAAAAAACGGAACATCCATGTCACTCTTTTAAGAGTGAAGAACATACATCAGTATCCCGGAACACATTTTGGGAAATGTTAGCCTGAGAATAAAGTCCAAATTCCTTGATATAACATTTAAAGAATGCCATGAACTTACCACAACTTCCATGTGCAGCCTCTTCTGCCACCACATCCCATAATCTAGCCAAGTTACAGTAATAGCAGTTCTCCAAGCAACACTGTATAGTTAAAGCCTTTTTACTGTGAAAGGTCTCAAACTTCTCTCTCCTCTATCTCTAGTTAGTTGGAAATTACATTTAAATATTTGAGTAAACTCAGATAGAACTTTGCTTGCTCGGGAAGAATACTCGGTAGGGTTTGCTGTCTCCTTGACATCGCATCCCCTCAGGAGGCACATGTGCTGGGACCTAGCACTTCAGCGATGCTGCTGTTGATCAGTGGATTCCAGGGGTGACGGCCCAGTCCCTCCATTGTAAAAGTTCCCATCATTGCAAAATAGTGATTTGCTAATGTTTTTCCTTCCTTTTAGTCCTTCTACATTTATTAGCTGGACTCCTCTACAAAGAGGAATTTTCTCTAATCAGCTCAAACTATTTGAATACCCTCTAGTACAGTTTATATAGGGAAGTAAAAATAAATGCTTCATTCATTTGGAGGAAAGAGTTCTTGCCCCAATCACATATATTTTTGGGGGAGAAAACATATATGTCACTGGGTATTGGGGGAGGATTGTGTCATCTGGCTTTGTTCTATCACATATTCCTAGAAGATTTTAAAGATTTTTATTT